GAGAGAGAGAGAGAGAGAGAGAGAGAGAGAGAGAGAGAGAGAGAGAGAGAGAGAGAGAGAGAGAGAGAGAGAGAGAGAGAGAGAGAGAGAGAGAGAGAGAGAGAGAGAGAGAGAGAGAGAGAGAGAGAGAGAGAGAGAGAGAGAGAGAGAGAGAGAGAGAGAGAGAGAGAGAGAGAGAGAGAGAGAGTATATAGGGGGGACGGGATGGACGGGACTTCCAAACATTTCTACTATTCGGCAAATTTTGTCTGGTCATTCTCCAGTTTCAGAAAATTTCATTCTCTCCAAATAAAATTAGTCAATATTATATCCTTATTTACTTTTTTTAAATAGCGGTGAAAAAAATATGCAGACGTAACATTGAAGATATACATTTCACCATTCACCATTCTTCCTCAACATATCTACTTCTCTTCTTGTCATTGAAAAGCAAATTTTTCAATTACGCGCCAGATTTTTCTACTTAATTCAAAAGAGCCAGTTTCATTAGAAATTAAGAGATAATATGTCAATAAGCTCACCTTTTCAAACTCATTTGCTTTTATTTTAATGAATTTTTTTTTTACAGTGAACATGTTAATGCAGTTAGGTTAATAGCATTGATGAATGTTGCACGAAGTTGAAAAAAAATCTATTTAAAAACATACTGCAGATTATTGGATTATCTCAACTTTCAAATACCTAAAAAAATTTGCTACTAAAAGAATAGATAAGTTAAATTTTACCTGACGAAGTATTACTATTATTATTATTTTTTTTTGGTTATCTTTCTATATTAAAAAAAATATAGTTGCTGCCAGCATCACTAGCATTTAAAAAAATTCTCGTCGAACATGCTTCTCTCTGTCATGATACAAAAGCTATTAGATACAACAATATGGGACTTCCATACTTCTAGATTCATATATCCAAACGTAAGTAAACATTCTGGTCCCAAAATATTGTTATTGATGCTGTTATTTTGCAACAAACTTGACTTAATTTTTCTTCGTTGCGTAATTTAGTTAAGTGAAACCTATTGGCACGTGATTAATATATATATGTAACATAAAAAGCTTTTATTAATCTTTTTATGTTAGTTTCTTTGCTATAAAACAACTCCTACTTTATTACTAATTAATTATTCAAATCGAAATACTTTCTCACACTTTTAAAAGCTACATCCTGTTTCTAAATCTATTTTTGGCCCAACTATGCATAAATTTAAATAAAGATCTTTTTTCCCTTTTAAGCCGTGGGAATCACTCGAGCAAGCTCATTAACCAATAGTAATATCTTAATATAATATCTTATATAAGATTTCCCTAAATAGAGACATTTTCGGATTTTTGCAAGATTTTCCCTACCAGAAAGACTGATCCTGAATGGAGTTAACATCACTTTTCGCTGGTCTTACATAAGAACATGATCTAAATAAAATACATCTGATTTCATTAAAATCCTGTGTCTGTTTCCCTGCTCGGTCCGACTGCATCATTTTACATATATATTTTGAATTTTTTTTACGGTTATGTACTTTAATGTCTATAAGTACGTAACTCGTCACACTTTGCTTAAATTTCGAGTAAGATTTAAAATAATTAAATAGTTATTGTTGACGGCTTTTAGAATTAAAACTAAACGCATTAAATTTATAAATTTTTGCTGCCTTATACTCTAATAACAAAAGATTAGAAGAGAGAAAAAACTATTAACATTTTTTTAAATTAGTTTTGGAGTAATTTAATTTTACAAGTTTTGGTGTTTTCATATAATTCTGCACGTTTAACAAAAATTGCAATTTTTTTTTATATCGTTTAGACAATACGATTCACATATTTTCCTTTCATTTAAAATAAATAATTCGGGATTATTTTAAGGAAGGGTGCTCGATTTCCAGCATATTCGATTTCTATTCGATATTCGTCGAGATTTACCGATCACCAAATAATTTGTGTAGTGAAAAGTTGCCGTCTTCATCTTAGCTGTGAACTAATTCAGCTCTTCATTTTATATATATATTCATTAATTGTTTTATTTATTAACTAGAATAATTAAGAATAAAATCGTTACATTATTAATATTCTGTTGTAAAAATATTAGCTACAATATAATTTAATTTTCTTTTCTTGAAGCAAAGGAATTACATCTTACTTTAAGATTACTGCTTTTTACTTCATTTATTCGAATTTGATAATTAAATGTATTTCAAGAGATTTTTCAATAAATATATGTTCACTATGTGGCCACGTTTACTGAATTAAATCTCACAGTGTTCGTTTTTCGAATATTTAGTGAGAGAAATTGTTATAAGTTCTATTGACAACATATAACAATTTGATTTTGGTTATATTGAATCTATTTTACTAATGCTTCTTTAGAGTAGATTTAGTATTATATGTTTAAGGATAATAGCAGAAACTTATTTATGATTTGGTCAAATTACGAATTTCATACTGCAAAATGGGTATTTCCCCCTTCCAAAGAAATAAGCTCCCGGCGCCCTTAAGAGTATACTGAGCTTTATGCTGAATTTGGTAAAAAACTAGATTGAATTTGAAATAAAACTAGATTCAATTTGAAACAAAATTATGGTAATCAACTTGATTGATTGTCCAGAGTGTTTTCTAATTACTTGTTTTAATATATACTCATGTCCAAAATTTGAGGAACTAACTCATTTTTATGGATAGTCCAAAAATAGAAAAAAGAATCAAATGAAAATTTGAAATAAAATGTATCTAAGTATGACAGAAACGAGGTTGACAAAAAAATTAATGACAAAAACTCAATTTTATAAGTTAAAGGGCACTTTAGAAAGACGGTACAAAAATGGTGTAGCAAAATGGTTTTTGTGGAGGGTTAAATTTCGGGTATGAACTCTTCTGATGAGAAAATAAATTTCCCACCGTTCTTTGATGCTGTTCATAAGGTTGACAAATGTCTTGGGAATAATCTTAAGTCTTGAAACAAAATTACACTCCTTCATTATGGCAGATTTTTGGAAGGGGGTGATGAGTTGTATGTTTTCTTAGAAAATTTCTGCCCTGCTCGATGGGATTCAGGTCTGGCTATCTGGCAGCCCTTCAATTCTCTATACATCTTCGACTTCAAAGTATTTATCGTCTTTATCATCCCAGCCCTGGGTAGTTTGTTATTGTTATTGTTGTTAATTTGCGTCGCACTAGAGCTGCACAATGGGCTATTGGCGACGGTCTGGGAAACATCCCGGAGGATGATCCGAAGACATGCCATCACAATTTTGATCCTCTGCGGAGGGGATGGCACCCCCGCTTCGGTAGCCCGACGACCTGCGCGCGAAGTCGAGCACTTTACGGTAGCACAGTTTAACGAGGACCAATACCGCACACCCTCGGTCCCTACGCAGACTGATCCAAGTGGTCACCCACCCGCACACTGACCGTAGCCAGTGATGCTTGACTTCGGTGATCTGCTGGGTACCGTGTCTTAACGATCAGTCCACTGCGGGACCAGCCCTGGGTAGACGCGTGTGAAAAGTGCCTCTGAACAATCTTAGGAAGTATTCTCTCTACGTGTGATCTCACGTAGATGCGATTTAAGCATACGCTGGCAGTTTGTCTAACATTCTCACGCGCATCTAACGTTATCGCATGCAGTTTGAAAGGTCCCTTGTACGTGAGAGAGAGAAAGTGAGAGAGAGAGAAAGTGAGAGAGAGAAAGTGAGAGTGAGAAAGTGAGAGCGAGAAAGTGAGAGAGAGCGAGAAAGTGAGAGAGAGAGAGAAAGTGAGAGAGAGAAAGGGAAAGAGAGTGAGAGAAAGAGAGTGAGAGGGAGAGAGAGAGAGGGAGAGAGAGAGGGAGAGAGAGAGAGAGAGGGAGAGAGAGAGTAAAAGAATTGCAGAGACTACCTTTAAAATGGGAAGAAATAATAAATAATAAAATAAGCTGAATTTTCTCATTGACTGAAAGTTCTGCCTTCCTATCTCCCCCTCCTTTACTAACCACTGATAATAAAAGCGTTATTGCTTCTCTTTAGTAAAGAAATTAAAATTTTCCAAATTTTTAACTGCATAGTTTCAAGTTTTTCCGTATCAAAAAAATATGTTTCCCTCTTATTATTTAATGGGAGAGTAGTGAGCAGCTGAAATATTTCCGTACAATTTTACCCAAAGGCTCAACGCTTGGAGGGTTAAATTAAAGAATATAGAAAAGGAGAACAGTCCATCTTTCCGAACACATTATTAACGTGGGTAACTGGAAATATTTTAATAAAAATACAGCACTGTTTATAAATAGTGCATATGTGAATCATGTGTAGTGCGATTGAGATGATTCGTTTGTTAAAAAGCGAATACAGATATCACGTGGCTTGCAATCGGTAACCAAACTCTCTATTCTCATAATACAGATTGACATGAACTGAAATGAATACACCTTGTTTTGTAACAAAATGGAATGGGAGTGAGTAAAGAATCGAAACTTTCATTAATATTTGTTTCTTTGCTTGTTTGAAATTAAAATGCAGTGACTTTAATTACTTCAAGGTAATAATCCTGTAACATTTTCATACGCGTTATTTATAACGTAATCGTTTATCTGTTTTCTTTCTTCTAAAGCTTCTAGAGTTTTTGTGTAATAATAATCTCTTGACAGCTTTAAATTTTTTATCTATGTTATTTGACTATTGAAGTTTCATTAATTCAAATATTTAAAACTGATCATATATTACTTTTAATGTTTTCTTGTTTTTTTCGTGAATTTACAACGTGTAAAATTATTTGTGTGACCTGTCTTAATTGTTGAACGTGCTTTAAAAATTTTACGATTCATAAATATAAAGTTATAATTGTATTAGAATCTATTTTTTAGCAGATGTTTCTTACTGCATACCAGATGTTCCTAACTAATTATTATACAGGTTTTCTTCAGAGGTTAATAAGTTTTTAATGTTTTTTTTCTTTTTCTTCTGGTAATACGGAGATGTGGTACTATTTATGTTTATTGTTATTATAGTACGACTATTTATTCTAGAGATGTCTTTGATTTTCCAAAGTTCCTTAAGTATTGAATTTTAGTAATTTAAAATCTGTTCTGCAACCATTAAATCACACGAACCATTGTAAGTATGAGTTCGGGACAATTCTGCATAGTAGGTTGCAAAAGTATCAAAATTATTTCCAACTATGCTGTGAGATACGCTAGAAAGCTCCCAATGTTCCTATTACGTGTGTTATTACATCCTCACTGGGGATATTTCCATATCATGATCTGTTGCTTAAACTAAAATTGCCAAGGTGCCAAATAGGTTTTTAACTCTTAAATTAAGAAAAGAAAATTTAGATGTTTGCCTCGGGGATGATTACGAGTTATACCTTTCAAGTTGGTAATTTTCTGTGATGTTTTTTTTTAAGTTTCTCACGGGCCACTGACCAGAAGTTTCAGAGACTTAGCAATTTTTCTACCGCTGATCATGATAAGGAAATCTCCCCTCCTCACTCACCTCTTGAGTTTGAACTTGATTAATGTATAATATATTTGCTATTGCTCAAACAAGGCAAGCTCCGTCACCAATAATTGATATGACAATGTGTGGCTCCATAGCACCGTTTATATTTAAAATTGCTACACTGATTTTAGGAAAGATCAAAAATAAATCTAAACAAATAATTAATATATAACCATTTACCACTACTTAAAATATTACTTTAGGCAACTTAAAAAAATTAATCTAAGTAAATAGTTTATGTATATCTGATTTTTTAGCGCTACTTAAATTATTACTGAAGACAGCCTAACAAAATGAATAACTGTAGTGTTACCAATTGATGAAGAACTACCCCAGTTTATGGTACCTCATAAGAATATATATAGATTACTAAATTATAAGTGTAATAAATGCTTCATTATTTTCTAAGCAGTTCAAACAAGATTAGTTAATATACTCTGAACTGCCTATTGTCTCTTCATTGTGTTATTGTTCTTAGCTTAAAATGTGGCCAGAAAAAAGTTAAAGTGTTAGCTATTTTCATAGCTATCACACTAACTTTAAGTTGTGTTGAGAATTTTAAATAAGTTTCTCCAACAACGGATTAGGTGAGATTGAGGGGTAAAATTGCATATAAATTTGATGAATACAAAAATATTGCTCCCAAAAACTGAAGTTTGCTTGTTAATGGGAAGCCATGCTGATGTAAACTTAACTTTGTGCCCAATATTGGAATTATCAGTAAACAAGATTTTCTGATTTTTTCATTAGATACGGATTCTTGTCTAATCAAAACTTAGTGTAAGTAAGCTTAACTGTGACTGTTTTTCTATATATTCTTTAGCGGCTATGTTTAAGACTCATTTTGCGACAATGGTGTGTTAGCCAAGTTAAAAATGTTTCAGCCATATGACTTGAATTTTTCATAGTATGCTTCTTTTTGATAACTTTTATTTTTTATACTTTTTGATTCAACAGGAGACATATCCTAACCAAACTCTTTGCATCCTCTCTATAATTTTGAAATAGTTGACACAATATTGTGTTCTGCAAGCAATGTAATTTAGTGTAGTATGATATTAAATTATATTTTAATAATTATAGTATGCAATATCTAATTAAGTTCTTGATTTAATTTTGTGTTTTGTTTTTGTATTTTGTATATTTCATATCTTTCTGTATTTGTATTTTTCTTTTCTTTTGATCTGTGTACGGCTTTAGGATAATGTCTATATCGCCTGCTGCTTTGGAGATAATAAAAAAAAAAGTATGCAGTATTTGTTAATGTGTTGGTATAATTTAAATCATTAGGTGTTAATGATAATATCTCCCTCATTAGCCTTCATGCAGTCACATGAATACAACAGCCACAGCAAGGTTAGAAAGCAATCCAAAAGTAAAATTGAACTAGGGTGACCCGGGGTAATTCACAATCACTCTATTTCTAGGGTAAATAATGATCACCTAAGTTTTATTTTAAAAATAAATTTTTTTTTTAAATTTGAGACATGGACAAGAATGCATGTACACTTTACTAAAGTATAACTACATTTACTTAATAATAATTTTTTGTTTAATCTAACCAAATAAGTATCTTTTAAACTGCTTTCTGTATTTTCCATTTCAAAGATGAGTTTCAAAATGTGCACATTTCTGCAAAGATCCCCCTCCTTCTCTTAATAATAAATATTTTGAGTTACTTTCTTTTTCTTTGATATAAAAATAGTGTAAGCTTTTGTTTAATTGTTTCACATCTACTGTAAACATTATAATTGATTATAGGAAACTATATCAAATGTTGCCCCCTACAGATGGGGTAATTATTGATCACTGGGGTAATTCCTGATCATTGTCATTTCTTCTTATAAATAGTATATAAAATAGCTAATAAATAGCTAATTGTCTTTTCTTAAATAACAGTTCATATTTATTAAGTGGAACAACTATAAAATATATTTTAACTGTCATCACAAAATTTGTTTTTAACTGTATACAAGACTGTATTCTGATTTGCACCATTTCTGGTTTGTCTTACCTTGCTTCTATCTTAATTTTATGTGTGTACATTGTTAGAATAATTTTTAAGTTTATAAATTAGCCTAGTATAAATATGGTGAGAAATTATAAGCCTAAAAAGGATACTAAGCTTCTAGAAAACAAAATTAGTGAATTTCTTTTAATGATTGAAAATGAAAATTTCAGTGTGAGAGCTGCTGCCAGAGCTGTTGACATACCTTACTTAACTTTACACTTTCCCTTAATGAAGTTAAAAAATGCAGCAAAAGTAACTCATGTGGGAACTCTCTTATATTTCAGAAGAACATGAGAATGAGTTGACTGATTGCCTAAAATGTATGGCACGATGCAAAGATTTTTGAAAATTTAAAGTGTTAATCGTTCTTCTTGCTTCTAAATAAATTGTTTTATTAGCTGCTTAAACATATCTTTTTGGTTTATTTGTTTGATCTTGATGTCTTATTTGTTAATTACCATTATATAATTATTTTTAACAGCCCCTTAACAATAAAAACTGTTGATCAGTAATTACCCCAGAAGTGATCAGGAATTACCCCAGAAATGATCAAGACCAGAGGTAATTCCTGATCACAAAAAATTTAAAATCTTTTAAATTCTAATTAGATTTTCAAACAATAGAAGGTGTCATAGGACTCATCTCATTTAGCCTCAAACTTCCAGGAAATATTAAAATTCTATTTCGAATAGTTTTTTTCACAAAATAGATGTTTGTGTTTTTTGATCAGGAATTACCCCAGGTCACCCTAAAGAATAAATTATATGACCTGGTTTTTTAGTGAGTTCAACTGAAGTTGGTATCCATTTTCTTAATCATTTGATCAAATTAAAAAAATGAATCTAGAATATAGATGAGCAATTTAAAGCAGCTCATTTTTATGTTGATTCAGCAATGACTAGAGGTAACTTTCTTAGTTAGCCACATAACTAAACGAGCCTTAAGTGTAAATTAAAATTTATTTTTGACTCTCGAAATAATACTGAAAGTTATAAAAACTTTTATAAGTATATCCAGACGTTTACTGAGATCAATCAGCAGATTTAAATGTTTTGTTAGTGATTTTATCAAATAAAAAAAGAGGGCCTAGAACATATGCAATTTTAAGCTAGTTCATGATCATGTTTTATTTTAGGTCAGCACTGAATTGAAATTGAGGGTACATTTTCACTTCATAACACTAAGTAACATAATATTTTCACTAGGTAACATGACTTAGGTAACAATAATATTTGTCTGCTAAGCATGAATTTGAAATGCATTTGAATTTATACTTAAAATTCGAGGAAATACTGAAAGTCACAAAAATTTTATAAACTGCGAAATATTACTTTAATTTTGAGTTGTATTAATCAAGCAAGAGTATGTCAATATTTTAAGTCCTTTCTGTGAATAAATAAATAAAAATGTTACTCATGTTAAATCGAAGTTTTAAAAGTAAATAGAGAAATTAAAATATAAATGTGATAATTAATTTAGTTTCTATTTAATGTAGTAATTAGTTTATTATGTTTTTTAAGTTTAACTTAGTATTCTTTTTGTTCCTTAGTATAGATTTGCTAGTATATAAAACTAGCTGTTTTATAAAAACATATGTCCTAAGAATGAATGTTATTTTAAAAATCAGTTTGGCAATATACTGTAAATTTTAAGAGTTATTACTAAAATGTTTCTCAGTAATAAAACTAAAAAGTAATTTTTCTTTCTTTCAAATGGTAAATGTTTTTTTTTCTTCTTGTGATTCATTGCCTAATTAAAAACTATAGTTTTGTAAAAGAAGTAAGAACTTATTCATCTGATATCAATCTCATTTCGTACATTTTAGATCGAACTCTAAACATTATTGCAGATTAAATCATAGATCTAAATAAATTTGGTTTTGTCCCATTTTTTAATTTTAGCAAAATTTTAAGTATCTTACATCTGCACCATTTGTTATTATCAGGGATATTGTTGTAATGTGCTATAGCATGTTAACTGCTTGAAAACTGAAAAGTAAGCTATGACATATCTGTAACAAGACATCATTCTGTTTGACTCATAAATTATATCTCTATTATGATCTGCTAAAAATGTTTTTTTTCTTTATAATTTGGGTTCAAGTTTTGCTTTAACATTTTCCCCCTTTAATTGAACTGTGAGAAAGACTTTTCCCTGGACCTATTTAATAGACCAATTGTAATTAATCAGGGTTCCCTTATTCCCTAAGACGAAACATATTACATATTTATTTTGCATGATTTTCCCCAACTTTTATTGCGGACCACTTTGATTTTGTGTCAATTGGATGATTGCTCTCTTTCTCTCTAATAATAATTAAATCAATATTGTGCCCTCTTCCCCTGCCTAAGACCTGTTTTTATCCTTACTCTCGATGATTCTGAAAATTCAATAAACTCTTGACTGAAATTTAATGTTTCATATTAACTCTCACAATTGTATATTTTTGACATGAGCAGCACGATCAAGTATTTTACATTTCTTTTTTTGTTGATATGATTACCCACTTGCAGCTTTTTCAATTTTCTTCTTATGGAAGGGAAGTAACAGGAATCTTCTTGTGATATGTTTGTTATAGCTTGTTTTTTAGTGGTTTATAATTATATACTTCTGTTCTATGTTCAATAATTTTGAATTGTACATTTACATGCATTTGTGATATACTTTTTTAAAATTTTTTATAAATATTATGTTTATAAAATTTAACTAATCGTTCATTAAAATTTTTAAAGCATTTAAAAAAGATTCCAATTCAAGTAAAAAAAAAAAAGGTCCATTTTAAATCATATTAATCCAATTTTTTAAATTTTATTTTGTTTTAAAAAAAAGTCTGAAAATTCCTGAAATCTATTTCATGTGCATTATTTCATCCCGATTTCACGAGAATGTAAATAATAACACTTTGGCATCAGACAAAATCATCCTACTCTTATATAAGTAATTTTTTATATTTTTTTAATTAATTTAAATTTATTATTTTTAACATTTAAGATCTAATTTTTCATTTCCTTTTTTAAATGTTTAATCCATTTAAAATTTTAAAAATCGCAATTCATATAACTTTTTTTAGATTTCTTTCTATCTTATTTTAAGATAGCATTTTTTTTCTAATTCATAAAAAAACTTTTTTTAATACCTGTTTTTATTTTTACTTTTTAGGTTTATATTTTCTGAAAAGCTAAAATGGCAGCCAAGTTGAGGAATCCTATGATGCTGCTTTTATTTTACAGCATTTTGATGGTGACTTTACCAATTATGTCCTTTTTTCTGACTCAATATTCGGTTGAAAGATTTCTGGATGTTGCTAACTCTCGCAGTTATATTTATGCTACAACTGTCAGTGTTGTTGTTGTGCATATTATATTAGGATTTTTTGTGTACACTGCATTCAAAGAAGAGAAAGTGGTTCCTCTAGCTGAAAAGGAAGATTAAACTTCTATTTTTTTCTTTTTTAACTTCTACACTAAGTTTAGAATGTACTTCTGCTATAAGGTGGTTGTGCTTAATGTTATATAAGTTCAAAGTTATTGTATAATCCAGGAATATTATTTTATTTGTATTTTCAATTTTTTTTCTCTAAATACTTAGTTTTAATTTCTGGGACCATGGTTTGCTTACTTGACTTGATGCATGATAGGTAGAAACTAAATATATTATTAAAAAATTAGCTTTACCTCTGTGTGTTATTTATCTTTTATGCATGCTAGTAGATGTAGGTAATCTACTTTCAATGTGCTAATATTTTATTCTATGAATTACGACTTACAACAAAGCAGTAAAAAAATGTGAAAGTCAGTAAATGTAAAAACTAATTTTAAAATTATCTTATAAGAACTGATGTACTTTTCAATACAACTTCTCAATAAATGTGACAACAAAATAAGATTACTATCTTAAATTTCTCAGTCTGTAAGCAAAACATGTCTCATTTACGCTCTGTCATTTTTTTCCCTTCATGTGTTTTAATGATGAAATTAAAAAATATAGTCATTACTAGCTGTGGAAGTGGAATATTTTTACAAAATTTTGTTTAGCTATTCAAATATTTTGTGATATATTATTCTCAAAGTTTTTATTTATAGGACTTTTCTTTCATCTCGTACCTTGTATAAAAAATACAAATTTTGATGAAACAATTGTTTTAAGCTGCTGTGATGTGACGTGTTAAGTTGAATATGTGAGGAATAAAATGTTGTTAGGAAAAACATATTTTTCATAAGCATTGTCTTTATCAGTAAATAGATTGTTTAACAATCTATCTTATTTTTATTAACTTTTATCAACCTCTTTGCAAAATTCTAAATTTATAATTTAAATGAAGATACATCTTGATTCTACCGTCATACGTTGGTACTTTAGCTAAGATATAGTTATTTTTACATTGTTTCTACTAAGTATATAATAAATTTTTGGGTTTCTTTAATAACATATCTATGCTATAATTTTTCTGCCTGATAAAGAAAATCGAAATTATTAGTTTTAAAACTTAATTTCATACAAATTTATTTTTTACATTTTCAAGTTAACAAACACAAAAAGAATTTTTTTTTTTGTAATTTTTTTTATTAAAATCAACTTGGTTTTTAGTTATATTGTTTTATTTATTATTTATAAGTGTTTTTCATTTATTTATTTCAAGGTTTATTTATCTAAATTTATGTTGTTAAACAAATTTGTTTTGTTATTTTTCGATTCAACCTTTGCAGAATTATTCAATATCTTACCATTTCTCCTGCCTAATAAGCAGCAATCTACTTATTAAAATTTTTCTTCTTTTAAACATAAAATAGTTACGTCAAATATTGTTTTGTATATCTCATAGTCGAAATCTTCAAAATTTTACAATTTTTATTAAGTACTAACTGTAGAAATAGTAAAGCATTGTAAAAATGAATTTTTTTAATGTATGAGGGATATGTTTTAAAAGAGATTTGGTTTGTGTCATGCACAAAAGAAATGTTGATTGTGTTAGTTAGCAAGATTTAATAAAAGTCACCTAATTTTTAAATTTGTCTTACTTTTTAAAATTTTATTTAAATTTTACGGATTTAAAAAAATAAATGAAATAAAAAATAATAATAAGAAGTTGGCGAAGGTCTACATATTTTGACGACTTTTCGCTTGTTCCCAGCGAACTGAATATGATCAAAATGTTGAAACCAGTAATTTACATTCTCTTGAAAAATGTTAATATTCATCAAGTTTAAATTTTTTGTATTAGTTAGTTTATGCTATCTTCAAAAATAAAAAGAATTGAATGTGTGCCTTGAATATTTTTATGTAAATAATTATTTCAGTTTATCTTATTGTGAAATGTGTTTTCATAGCTAGTGAATTTTATTTTTGTGATTGTCACAATTTGTGTGTTTCTGCAATTTCCAGAGCCTTGCAGTATAATATCTCACATATAAGTACAAATGAATAGAGATCCCTGTCCAAATATCCCACTTAAACTTTTCAAAACTTCATTTCCTTTTGTTTGGAAACAATTTTGAAAACTTAAAAGATTTTATTTGGGTATAATTGTTTTCATGTTGTCTATTTTGTCCCTTTTTGTGATTGTATTTTACTAAAATGTCTTGCACTTGATGAACCTTTTGTTAGTCATTTTAGTGTCTGTTAATGTTTAACTCAATCTAATGTATATATTACTGTTATAATTCTTTCTATTTTTGAAGGCAGGTAAACGTTAATACTTTAATCTGTTAAGCTGATAATTTTGACTCTAACATAATAATTACGTACTAATTAAAAAAAGATTGTTAGTTTTTTACATATTTGATTGTTTTGGGTATATATTTACAGTTAAATGATATTAAAATTATGACAAATTATTGTCAATTCTTAGGTATTTTGATGTAAATAATCTCAATAACTCTGTCTTTTGCTTTTAAATAACTTTCGTAGAAATTTTTTAGGCCATTTAAAGTTTCAGTAGTTAGTGATTTGGAGATCACTTGAAATCTTTAATTTCTGTTAGAAGTTAATTTGCATAATTTTTATTTTGAATTAAAGGCATATACTATTACATGGAATTTTTGTCTTATTTCATTTTCCAAAATGTAAGTATTTATAAATTGTTTTATAAGTGTATCAAGTAATACATTTGTTGAGTTGTATTTTGAAATTTTAATTTTTTTTTTCTGTTTGTGTATTTTTAAAAAAAAAGTTCAATAAATAAGGCATGTTTTTAAAGTACTTTATTAAAAAGAAGTTGAAAGTTGTTCATAATATTAACTTCAGAAAAAGAATACTTCAACTCATCGGTGTATTCTTTTTTCAATGGAACTTTCAAAAAATCACATGGAAGATGCAATATATATTATATTAATTTAGATCATTATGTACATTTTATCTCTTTTTTTGTTACAAGGAATACATTTCAATCTTTGTACATGCTTGTTTCATTTTTGACTAGAAGTCTTATTCTTCTCTCTTTTTTTTCAATAAACTTTTTTTTTTAACTTGATTTTGTTCTTATTTAAAATTAATACACCTAAAATCTTCATTTTGTGGCAAATGGTTAAAATTATAATCATGTTGAAAACTAGTCAGATAAAAAGACATCATGGAAAATCAGAAAATATTTTTATAGATCAAACACATCCAAATTTTTAGAAACTTTTTTTTCCAATTAAAAACAGCTGCATAATTTTTTTATTCAAAGTGCAAGTATTTTCTTTTCAACTTAATTAAATGCTTAGTTTTTTTAAAAAATTTAAAGTAAGGAATAAGATTTTTTTATATAGGACTTAATTAGTATTAGCTTAATTTTCTAGGCAATTATTTACTAAGTTAAAATAGTAATTTATTTGATGTCCTATTTAAATTGAGACTTGAAACTTCTGTTTATAATGCAGTGATAGCAGTGTAAATTTTTTAAAAAAATTATTAAATTGATATAATTTATCTACTTTCAAATTATATGTTATTATTTTTTAATGTTTATTTTAGTAGTTTAAAACTATTCTCTACATCTTCAAGAACTTTCATAATTAATTAAAACAATCACGCTTTCACTACTTTCTTTGTTTAAACATTATGTTAAAGTTCTCAGGAAAACACTACAGCTAAAGTTATCACATATTTCCTGACACATGCACATAATAGCTGAAATTTTTCCAGTTATTCATCTCAACAGGGACATAAATTGATTTTTAAATAATTTTTTGCTTGTTGGTGATTAGAATTTTAATTTAATGATTATGTTACTTGTCCATTGAATTAATATAATATACTCTAAATTTGAATCATACATATTTTCCTTGACATATGTGTAAAACATTTGTATTTTTTTTAAACACAAAATTTTTGTCATTTCATTAATTTACTCTTAAATCTGTGAGTTCACGTAAAAGCTTTTGTTACTAATATAAAGCTCTTTAAGTATGAACCACTTTAAATGTAAAGCACAGTAGTTCTAATTTAAATCGATAAGTTTTCTATATTATATTTTTACAGAATTTTTTTGGTAGACTTATGTTTATTATGAAATATTCAAGTAAAGCTTTTCTCTTCGACTGTCGGGCTTCATTCTCTTAAGTTCCTAGATCAGTCATAATCCAGTGAATATCTGAGAAAATGTCACAAGTCTTTTGTTCTATGTCTTCAAATTCTTGTTCTGCATCTCTGGTTGAGTTCTGAGATAGAGAAAGAGGACACGGTAACATTTCAGGCATCACAGAATGGTGGGTTATAAGTGCGTTGAGACTAGAAAATTCCTTCGTAAAACCCTGCAAAAAGCAAAAGGATGTATTGATTTACGTAATTTATTCTACAATTTTTGAAATATTTACTTTATACTGGGTGTCTCAAAAATGACAAATTTGGAAAATCAATTGCAGGAAATGTAAGGTTACAGTGTTCTGCTTGCTTAAGCAGCCAGTTTTAATTTTACTGAATTTCTGAAATAAGTTTAAGGACTTGTTAGCAGGTGGCGCTTCAGAATGTGAATCACTGTAACACAATATTTTACTGCATGCGAACATGAATCACTTGAAGGTATACATTGGTTTTGTCTTCAAACTGTGTCAGATTGTTGTTTCAAATGATGACTATTTGGAAAAAGAAGTTTGATAGCTTTCCCTAGAAAGCAGTCATCTGTTGACAAACTTAGTAACAAATTTTGAAATTTTGTGTTAATATGAATTATCTGATTTCTTAGCACAATAGTATTCAGCACCAGTATACTTTTATTAATTTACAGTTGGCTTGCACATGCATGCAAAAAATGCACTCAATTCAGATTTTTGAGGTATAATTTAGTGTTGCAGGTTCTTGTTTTAATTTGTGATGAGATTTTTTAAAAAACTTTTTTTAATTTCTGACGTTTTTTCTTAACTATTTATAGTAAATTATGCAGAATTCAGAAAAATAAATAATGGTTATCATCTATTAAAGCTGTGAAAAGTTCTGAATTAGGCAATTTTCTTTTAAAATTTTTTTTCAAGAGTTAAACAAAAGAAAAATTAATGAAGTAACAAAATAAAAAAGTAATGAAGTGACAAAAATAAGTTAATGTTAAAATTTAATTTGAAAGTAAACATAGTCAAAATTTAAGACATTTTATGATAGTCAATCAGTTTTATGCATTTGTTTAGTTCAACTACCTGTGACTTTAGAAGTTAAAAATTTTGATTTGTTTTTGTAAAAATATAATGAATTACAAAATATTTTTGCAAAACAGATTTAAATGTTTAGAAAAATCAAGTTTATATTAGTAACGTGTTCTAGTTTATTGATAGATGAATTTTTGTAAAGTAAAATAATTTTCTTATTACATTGTATACATGCACACTTTATTTTCTCCCCAGGATTTGGGTTGATAATTCAAATTGTATGAAAACTATTTATTGATTTCATAGTTATTTATAAGATATACTTTTATGTGCGCAAGTTGAATTACTTTTCTTTCCTGTCTACTTTAGTCTTTAACTTTTAGTCTTTAACCCTGGTAGCAGAATATTCATAAATTTAAATTTGTCTGCAACCCTAACACTTTCAGATAAAAACTGCTATGAAAAATAAAATTAGGCTTAATCTAACGAGTGTTTAGTAAAACTAGCACCCATAAATAGATAAAAATTATAAAAAAATGTTAAAAATTTAATATTTTTCATTCACTTTAAATTGAATGGAATGATGGAATAGAATAATTGAGATTTAAAAGATGAAGTTCCTATACAGTTATAAAGTTCCTATAAAAGTTACTAGAATTTTGGACACAAAATGAAAAGTTACTAGAATTATAACTAAGGAAAGAATTATAATTAAGGACTTGATTTTTAAATTTGCTACCTTTCAAAGTTCCATTAAATAAAGAGCATTAACTTATATAACTACTGATTGGCAAACAATTTTGGTTAAGGAACTGAAACAAACATGAATTTAGGAAATTCGAAATTAAAAATGATTTTTCTATTTCACAGAAATTTTTAAGCTTTTTCACTTAAAAAAATAAAATGGAGATGTTATTACTGGAGAGTTTTTGCTACCGGGATTACTACTATAAATTATTATTTACCTTTTTTGGTTATATATTTACGCTTATTTATTATTTTCCAAAACTAATCAAGCAAGGAAATAACAAAAGTAAAAAATTGGTATTAAAAATTGTTTAATGTTTTTTTTATAAATATATTTTAAATGTAAAAGGTTTCGACATAAGAACTATTCAGCGAAGTAGTTTTGTTTCTTACTTTTATTTTGTATCCTTTATTAGTACGAAGGATGAGATAGTGTGCAATTCCATCTGGATTTTTTCCAGGTGGGACCCTTAGAGAAAGGGCGTAGCAATCTGGTTTTGTGGTACTTTCGCGGACTATAAAAGAACCTTCTGGTTTTTCAGCCAGAACTTCAAGTGCTATTTCCCTAAAATGATATAAGTAATTTAGCACAACATACAAAACTGATATTATTATTAAAATACTGTAGCTGTATGAATCTTTTGAAATTCATAGTTAAATCACTTCTTAAATTTGACTGTGTAATTGAATAATTAAAAAGAAAAAGGATTTTAATGAAAACTAATATGTCCTCTCTGACAGATCATAATATCTGAACTCAATGCATTTTAATATAACATGTAGTTATTAAAACATGTATATTTTTAAAACTGTTTTTAATAGAAAATTTTGTTTAATTTTAAATGTAATATCAAAAACTAATTTCAAATAAATGGCATATAAGTTATAACAGAGTAAATAGAATTTAATATTGTTTTAGAAATTACTTAAGATATCCCACATATTACTTGAAAGTTATAAATTTTATCCTGAACATCATAAAATTTCATTATGAATATTTGTTAACCTCTAAGTGTGGTATTAGACTGGAAATTTGCTTTTTTTAGGCAGTTTAACCTACTGATAAATCTTTTTGATTGTAGATTTGATTTCCTGATGTACACATATATGTTACTAATATTTTTAAATGAGTACAACTATTTATTTCGTATCATATTGAATTTATTCTGGTTCATAAACTGCAAAATTTAAATTTTAAATTTGCCACTGTAACTAATTAATATATTTTTTTTTACAAATAAGTAGTATAGAAAACAAAACAAAAAAACTTAAATAGAAAATTTAAAAAATTATGCAACATAAGAACTTAACGCTTTTTCGCCCATTCGAATTTAACTAAAGCATGATTTTTATTAAATTTATTTTAATTATAGATTATTGAAATTGTTTGTGAAGTTTTCTGATGCGAACATGCTGAAAACTTTTTCATAAATAAAAATTACACATCCTTTGATATTTTTTAATAAATTTTTCTAATTGTTTACTAATTAGAAAATTTAGCAAAAAACAAACAAACTATATTTTAATAGAAAATTTCTAATACTAAAGAACATTAAAACTCACTATCTTTTCTTTTCTGATCATATAATATTTAATTTTAAAAATTTAAGTGAAGCATGATTTTTGTTTTAATTATAGATTATTAATATAGTATTTGAAATATTCTGATGTGAATCTTTAGAAGTAAATTAATCTTTTGAAGTAATAATAATAATAAGCAAAATTACTCAACTTTTAGTATATTTTAATGAATATTTTGCTTGGCTGCATCATCCTTGCGATAATTTGTGGGCACTGTAGAGTATATATATATATTTAAAAGATGAAGTTCNATGGAAATGTCATCATTAATGAAAGTCAGAAAAATATAAGTACAATTTGCAAATTCTAGCACAAGGCAATATAATTTAAGAAAAAAAAGATGTAATAATTCCTTGCAGATGCCAGAATTTTTTTTACAAGAAGCTAGGAAAACTGCAGGTTCAAAGACTATATTGCAATTTCATTTTTATCTCAAGGCCACAAGCTATAAATTGAAATCAACTAACACCTTAACCATGGAATTTATAATAGGTAGAAAAATATGAAATATAAAAGTTCCAGGCAAATGCTAGAAAGAAATTATGAAAGCAAAGAGAACTTCAGATCAACAGATCATACTACAATTTCTTCATCTGTAGATAATACCAGCTGTAAATTAAAATCAATAAATAATTGAAGCAAAAATTTAAGAAAAGCAAAAAATATTAAATATAAAAATTCCAGGCAAATAATCAAAAAACCACATAGAATTTATTCTTCACCTTCAAAGACCACAAGCTATAAAATTAAAATCAATAAGTACTTCAAACATGAAATTTATGAATGGCAATAATATATGCATGTATATATATATATATTAAAGTTCCTTTAAGTACCCTTTTTTTTTCCAAACTTAAATTCAAATTATTATAATTGTAGATACTTAACCTAGGTATTCCAGCTTGAAACCATGCAATATTGCGCAGGTCTTCTTTTTCTTTAATTATATCTTCTTCAGATCTAAAATAAGAAAATTAAATAAACTCTACTGTTATATTTGAAATGCTATTAAAACATTAAGTGTTATTCCTTATAATTTTATAACCTTTGATTAATAAGTTGTAATAAATCTAAAAGAGTAGCGATTTACTAGTATTTCAGAGAAAAATTTGTAAAAAAATGTTATTAAATAAAAGAAACATAAATTTCCTTTTTAATACTTAAAACCTCATAAAAAAAAAAAAAAGTAATTTCATATCAAAAAACCCTTTGTATAGCATAATTAAAGGTTGAAAAAAGTATTTTGTTTTTCTTTGTTCTTTTATATTTACTTATCAGTAAAATCAATTCGTATTTATAAAAACAATGCATTAAGGATAACTTGGAATGTAATGTACTTTCCTTAGATGCCAAATCTCAGTAATGATTTTTGTTTAAATTTATTATGGTTTCTGCAAATTTAATTAAAATATGGAATTAAAAGACACTAAGAATTCAACTGGCATGTTATAATATCTTGATTATTTAAAACCAATTTTCATTTTAACTTGGACTTTTTATACTTCATATTAGATACGTTTAAAAAAAAATATTTGACATTCTATGAATTAACTAGTTTATTTACTACAAAAAAAATTATTTTCAGTACAAAAAGTGTGATATAATGCATCTAACATTTTTTCATAAATTAATTTTGAAAAAAAAAATTTGTTTTTAATTTATTTTAATCTATAAATTAAGAATATAAATTTTAAAAATTATTTTGAAATTACTTACTCGTATAAATAATTTACGATGGGGCATGCACCTGTTAATATTTAAAACATAGTCAGTAGATGGCAGCACCAAGCTCCCTTTCAAAATTGATCTCTGGATTAAGCTTTTATTTTTAGGATTTATGACTAAGAGAAATCATTTCAATACTCTCTATTTTTTTAAATTTATAAACTATATTATATTAACATTTTAAAATAATTATGGAAATGAAGAGTCACAAATCTTTGTGTTACTCTTCTGTTTTTATAAACTCTAATTGGATCAGTTGATTTCGTGAAAAATCTTAACTGGAATTAATTATGTCTTTTTTTCTAGAATCTTGAAAATTGAATTTTAAATGAAAGCAAATAATATATCTTTTAAAAACAATTTTATAAGTAATATCATTTTTATAATTTCTATTCAACAGCATACACAACGGGGGTATAGCTCAGTGGTAGAGCATTCGACTGCAGATCGAGAGGTCCCCGGTTCAAACCCGGGTGCCCCCTAAGTTATTTTTTATACTGGGAAATAAGGTAAATAATTACTTCTGGTACGGTGTTAATTACCTTTGGAATTGAGTAAGAGAAAAGGTAATTAATAAATAGCAATAAATTATTTGGCTAGTTTTTTTAAAAAATTTAATTTGCTGTTAATAAGTGAGGATTCCAGGGGGTCCTTTTTATAAATATATTTTTTCCTGGAGCTCTATTTATAAGCGAAAATATATTTTGATATGTTATTAATTATATAAAATAGTTTAATAGCTACTGAAATCTGTTAGATTATCAGAATTATGTTTGTACAAAAATCTAAAATCTAAAAAAAGTCGCTTGAAAATTTTTTTTTCTCCATTCATATTAAAAAATTTATCAATAATGAATTTGTTAATTTGTACCGAAATTCCAATATAATAACTGAATAACTGTTTCTCTTAGATCTAAGTAACTGCAAATTAGAAAAATTATTGTGTGGAAGTAAGCCGTGTTTGGAAGATTTTACTTTGACGCAGAAAAAGACACCGGCGTTACATGCTGTATTTCATAATCATAAATTATTCAGAAGCTAAATATAAAATTTTTCACTTATTCTGACCTAATTTAATACAAAATAATAAAAAAGTATGAAATGTTTGTTTGATAAAAATTCTGCATCAAAGAAATCATCAATTGCATGTGAAAAATCAGTGAGTAAAATAAGATAATATTTTTATCGACGATTAACAATTTGTGTGGTGTAATCAACATACTAGGTGGTTAAAGTACCAAAGTTAGTGACCTGGCGAACCTGTGAACTTCTTTGTATCTTCAATATATTCTCTGTAATCTTCTTGCCGCCAATACCCCATTGTGCAGCTCTAGTGCAGCGTAAATAAATAATAATGACAAAAAAATACCTGTAATCTTCCTGAAGTATAACTAACTGAACTGAATTTCAAGTGAATGAAATGTATATATAGGGTAAACCAACCAGTGAAGGAACATTTCATATATATTGATTAAAAATAAGAATTTGAAAGTTTTTCTTTAGATTGATTGGTCACAATAGCTTACTGCCAAACAATAGGAAGTCATCTAGCAATGTTTTGGATTACCTGGTCACATAGACTTCTAATCCAGAGCTAAAAA